CGAGCCCAGCCGACTGCCGGTTCGGTTGAACCGCAGTCCGGTCCAGACCGGTTCAGACCGGCTGGACCGGTTCAGTCTCATTTTAGTCGGGTTCATTTCATGTTTAAGTGTTCAGCCCGGTTTATAATTTTAAGGACATTTTCAGTTAAATTTCCAGGATTATTTCAGTTCAGTAAATTCATGTCCAATCAGTTCAGGTTAAGTCAGTTCCGGTTATCCCGGATAAGTCTAAATATCATGTTAAGTTCAGTAGAGCATCTTAACAAAAATTATCAGTTAAGTTAACAGTCTGAGCATAGTCATTAGTAATTGTTTATATTATTTTCAGTTTGATCAGGCATCAGCACTACCGATCAATTCCGGCAGTTCAGGTGGGGACTCAGACTACGTACTACATTGATTATAATTACAGTACTATGTTTGAGGTATGTATTTCAGTTGAGGTATCCGCTCAGAATGGTCGCCGGTCCATTCTGGGTTCTAGTGGCCCTAGTCTGCCCACTAGAGTGTGCACATGGTGTCCGGCTTTGCCGGCAGATGAGGTAACGGTCAGGGTCACGTTTGCGTGACGATTTCAGGGTCACGGTTGCGTGACAATTTCAGATTCATGTTTATTACCGGCTTGAGGTTGAGGTTATGTATATACTGATATCATGATGTTGTTATTATTTTCGATGTTTTACATTAGTATGAGTTTCCACGGAGCACAGTGCCATAATGCTCACTCCCCAGTTTTATCATGTTTTTCAGGTCAGGACGTCGGGCCGGGAGCATGAGCGTGACGTGACGGGGACTTCAAGATATTTATGTTTTGGACTGTATAAATATGATGATGACTTACGCTTCCGCTTGTGATATTTTGATGACTTGTGACGATGTTTTTGATGACTTTTGACGTACTCATTTTGAGAAACTTATGCTTTCAGTAACCGGACGATTTTATTAAAATTAAACCAACGGTTTTCTAAATTATGTCACGATTTTTAAAGGTAGCACCCCGAATCAGTTTTCGCAAAGTAAAAAGGGTTTTATTTTCAATAACTTTGCGGAATTTGCGTACTCTGGTTTTACAATATGGAGGGGTGTTACAGAGATGGCCAGCAATTTTTTCATCACCTCGTCATTTAGGGCTGGCGTTGATGATTTACCTAGCGATTTGTCCCCCATTGAAACCCTAAGATCGACAACTCCTGAGAATAGATGGCAAGATCACCTCCGACCACTCACTGATATGAATCAACACCAGAAATTACGCTTCCACCAGAAGAATTTTGGCTCTCAAGTGAGAGAATTTTGGCTCTCAAGTGAGAGAATTTTTATTTTTGGGATATAGTACTAGTATTCAATAAAACTTAATTATGCTCAATGTTTGACCCACAAAATAGTTTTAAACCTCATAAAATTAATCGCATGATTGGTGCTTCTCAGTTGACTTAATTGTCTTATTCTCAACAAAATGGTGTAGTAGATGAACAATAATTTTCAATCTAGCTTTACTTGAGGAAGGTTGATCTTTGAAACTTGCTTGTGATATACACTGGTCCAATATTTATACATATTCTAAGGCTGAATTAGTTGTCATAATAATCCATTAGAAGAATACATATAAACTTGACTCGGTACTAATGAATTCACAGACCTTGACATGCTCGAACTTATGCAATACTTACAGATATGCACGGCCTTTATTAACCAATTAAATGATTATTCTTAGTCTTGATGAACCAATTCCTATCATATTATTCATACAAGCTCGACTATAACTTAGCCTTCTCTGCACACCCTTTACTTGACTCGAAACCGTGTCACGAGGGAACGCTTTTAAAACATGAATAGCGCATCTAATTTATAAACTTAATAACTTAGAACTTAGAAAAATGTTAAGTATTTCATACTAAGGCTCGACTCATGACCGAACATGCTTGGTTCGGTTCTCAACTTATCTTAAACGATTAATCAAAATATATTCGATTTCGATTATTCGTCATCTTATAATAATTAATCCCATTTTTATAATGTCCATTTCTAAAAATAAACAGACTGGAATTAATTAATAATTAGAATTTAATCGAAACTACTTTCAACTTAAAATTGATCTTAAAACTGGATAACTTGATAACTAGCTCGGGACTAGAAGTGAGCATTATTAATAAAAGTAATTTAGTTAAAACTTGGAATTAAAATAATTATTCTATTTAATACGTACGAAAATTATATCTCGAGTCTTAAGCCAATGGTCCTTTCGGTCCAAAACTTAAATCGGCTGCTCCTCGTAAGTTTTATCTGGCTAAATCTGAAATTCATTGTGCTGAAGCACATACTCTGGATCGCTCACATACTTTTGTAATATCCATACATGAAACTCATTATCACATTGAACACATTTGTTGTCCAAAAGCAAGCTTTTAAGCTTTCTAATCATCTTCGTTTATTGTCTACCCATCAGTAGTATTGATGGAAATTCTAAGCACTTTTGGCTCGACCTGCTATGACTTGGAACCTGACAACGCGGCATGCTGCATGCGATTTACCCACTACCCGGGGCCCTTCGGGTGTGGAACATCAGCATGCGGTGTACCTGCGACGTCAATGTCACCTACAGTCACCAACACGCCGCAACCACAATAATTTATGTGCTATCATCATTGTCGACATCTCACATCTGGTTTTGGCTGCATTTAATGCATTCTGGCTGCATACTCTGACTTCCATATATTTTAATGTTAATCTTTATCACCAGAAACTTACCTCCTATTTATCTCTCTTCTATAAACAGGCTCACTGATCCTTCAACCTTCTTCAACAATGGTCCGAAATAAATGGATTTAGCATTTTCAAATATTTACAATTGTTATTCCTTTCTTCCACTTAATATCATAAGAAGAATCTATCGATCTGGAGTGGAAAGATTGAGAGTGCTAATGCTCAATAATATTCCAATTGATATTCGATGGTTGATTGAAGCAAAAGTCCGACTATCTGGAGAATTCCCAAATTCCTATAATTATCTGCCAGGTATGGGTAGAAGTACTCTTGCCAAGAAACGAAGGGCAAAA